ATAAAAAAATTTAAAAAGGGGGACTACACAGGAACACTACTGTCTTCCTTATCTAAAGCAGACTTTACTAGATTCCAACATAAGATATTCTCTAAACCTATAACTATTGTTAATACAGCTTTAAATTTTTTAAACTTACCACAAGGAGATATCTTAACAAGAGCAGAAAAACATTTCAAGGAATTGAAGGACACTTCTCTTCCTCTGCCCATTTGGTATCAAGACAGGTTCAATAAACAATGGAAATCTGGGAAATAAATCTTACAGGGAAAAGGGTATGCTTGTATTTCCCCAGATGGATCCAGTGAACTCACATGGCTTCCTTTTTGGAAGATTCGACCCAAGGGGGCCCCCAGCATTCAAAATGGAGACGAAACAACAAAAACTCCAAGAGGAAGAAATTCCAATATGGGCCATGTCAGCTCTGAAGATTTCCAGGAAGCACTGCCCTCAGTGGCATCAACCTTATGATCTCCCCTCTTGGGGACAAATAAAAACCCCTACTAATCAAGCTGAAAATTCTCAACAGGGAATGCCTCGGAGTCCTGAAAATCTTTTCACGGCTATGCTTGCGCTTCCCACCCCGCCCCCCCCCCCCCCCCCCCCCCGCAAGCTGTAATAACTAATCTCACTTATTGGGCTTACTTACCCAACCCCCCTTACTGCAAGTCCTAGAATGGAAAGGACCGAAAGTATCAACCAATGACTCCACCCATATGCCCCCTCCCTGGAACATGAAGGGGCCCTCACACCCTGGGGAGGAGGGAAAACTAACTAACATTTCTTTAGGCTGTGAAGTCCTTCCATTGTGGCTGGGCCCAGGGGAATTATGCATAAACGTCAGCCAACAACTTGGGCTTTCGTCCTGCCTCCAAAAGAAGACTTTTGGACATGCTTGGATTATTTACCACTCTTTCTTTTACTGAAAACCATGTCAACACTACTGAGACTCTAGGAAAAGAACAAAGAATATTATGTGAAGGGTTTACTTATAAGAACTTTAAGTATACTTCTGTTCGTTGGGACAAATGTCAAGCCAAATCAGAAAAACTAATATTTGTGGCTAGTCACACCATTGTCGATTGGGGACCCCATGGTATGTGGTTGTCTAACTGCTCAGATGACATTAACAGCACTATGTGATTATGCTACTCAAGTTGCTTGGAAAGTTACTAACACTACAATGGAACATTACCATAACAAAGGACTGCTTGGCTGACTTGAAGGTGGAATGGCACCCCCTCTTCCTTGGATTGTCCTCGATAAACAAACTGGGCCTGAACAATGGGACATATGGCAACTTGCTGCGAGCACTGAAGAACTTGGAACTTGGACCGGACATTTCACGGGGATCAGTCGTATGCTTTCGCTATAATCAATCGTATTTCAGACAAGCTCGTATTACCCTTCCTTTTGTTTTAGCTATAGGAAACTTACAATTTAATAAAACTTTACGTTCTATAACTTGTATAAATTGCAAATTGTATACCTGTCTTAACTCTTCTATTTCCTTAAGAAATAAATCCCTTTTGATTCTTCGATCTTGACGTAATTTGTGGTTACCAGTAAATCTCCAATGGCCCTGGGAAGAAGGTCCCATGGCCGGGCTTGCTTCCCGGTTACTTACTAAATTACTCCAACAATCTAAATGATTCATTGGAAGGCTGGTTCTTGGCATTTGGGGATTAATAGCTATTTGCACCACTGCTGCCGTCGCTGGCATTGCTTTACAAACCTCAATTCAAACACATAATTTTACCCAAAATTGGACTAAAGATGTTTATACTATGTGGGTCACTCAGGCTCAGATAGATGAGGATATTCAAGATGAAATACAGGAACTAAAAACAGCCATCAAATGGGTTGGAGATCAATTAATAGATGTACAAAAACAAGTGATACTAAAATGTGATTGGAATTCTACTCAATTTTGTGTTCAGTCAATTCAGTTCAGTCGCTCAGTCACGTCTGACTCTTTGCAACCCCATGAATCGCAGCACGCCAGGCCTCCCTGTCCATCACCAACTCCTGGAGTTTACTCAAATTCATGTCCATCGAGTCGGTGATGCCATCCAGCCATCTCATCCTCTGTCGTCTCTTTCTCCTCCTGCCCCCAATCCCTCCCAGCAACAGGGTCTTTTCCAATAAGTCAACCTTTGCATGAGGTGGCCAAAGTATTGGAGTTTCAGCTTCAGCATCAGTCCTTCCAATGAACACCCAGAACTGATCTCCTTTAGGATGGACTGGTTGGATCTCCTTGCTGTCCAAGGGACTCTCAAGAGTCTTCTCCAACACCACAATTCAAAAGCATCAATTCTTCAGCGCTCAGCTTTCTTCACAGTCCAACTCTCACATCCATACGTGACCACTGGAAAAACCATAGCCTTGACTAGACGGACCTTTGTTGGCAAAGTAATGTCTCTGCTTTTTAATATGCTATCTAGGCTGGTCATAACTTTCCTTCCAAGGAGTTCAGTTCAGTTCAGTTCAGTTGCTCAGTCGTGTCCAACTCTTAGCGACCCCATGAATTGCAGCACGCCAGGCCTCCCTGTCCATCACCAACTCACGGAGTTTACTCAAACTCATGCCCATCGAGTCGGTGATGCCATCCAGCCATCTTATCCTCTGTCGTCCCCTCCTCCTCCTGCCCTCAATCCCTCCAAGCATCAGGGTCTTTTCCAATGAGTCAACTCTTCACATGAGGTGGCCAAAGTACTTGAGTTTCAGCTTCAGCATCAGTCCTTCCAATGAACACCCAGGACTGATCTCCTTTAGGATGGACTGGTTTGATCTCCTTGCTGTCCAAGGGACTCTCAAGAGTCTTTCCCAACACCACAGTTCAAAAGCATCAATTTTTCGGTGCTCAGCTTTCTTCATAGTCCAACTCTCACATCCATACGTGACCACTGGAAAAACCATAGCCTTGACCAGACGGACCTTTGTTGGCAAAGTAATGTCTCTGCTTTTTAATATGCTATCTAGGCTGGTCATAACTTTCCTTCCAAGGAGTAAGCGTCTTTTAATTTCATGGCTGCAGTCACCATCTGCAGTGATTTTGGAGCCCAAAAAAATAAAGTCTGACACTGTTTCCAATGTCTCCCCATCTATTTCCCATGAGATGATGGGACCAGATGCCATGACTTAATTTTCTGAATGTTGAGCTTTAAGCCAACTTTTTCACTCTCCTCTTTCACTTTCATCAAGAGGCTCTTTAGTTCCTCTTCACTTTCTGCCATATCTGAGGTGTCATCTGCATATCTGAGGTTATTGATATTTCTCCCAGCAATCTTGATTCCAGTTTGTGCTTCTTCCAGCTCAGTGTTTCTCATGATGTACTCTGCATAAAAGTTAAACAAGCAGGGTGACAATATACAGCCTTGATGTACTCCTTTTCATATTTGGAACAAGTCTGTTACTCCTGTTCAATTCAATCATAGTGCCTATAACTGGGAGCAAATCAAATTTCATTTACAAAATATACATGATAATGCCTCTCTGAATGTACAATTATTGCAAAAAGAAATCTTTGATACCTTCTCTAAAAGTCTGTCTCATCCACTAATCTGGAAATTTTAGCTGAACAACCAGTTGATCAATTATCTGGGCTAGACCCATGAGGATGGTTTCAAAGCATCACCCATAGCATTGGGTCTGGAACTGTAACTCTGGCGATTGTCTTGGCAATTATATTTGTTGTTTACCATTGCCTTTCTGCAAAAATTGTTAAAACTAAACAAACTCAAATGGTCAGGAACTTTTTTACAAATATAATAAAATAGGGGGATTATCAGGGAATGTTTAACAGTAGGATTCCTGTGTGCCGTTTCCTATCTCTCTTGAGCACTCTGTTCCTTATCAGTCCCTGTCAGGGGCAAGAGGAGCTGGCAAGCTGCTCCCAGGACTGAGATCAGAGAGATGGGATGCTTGCATAGATTTCCTTCATTAGCTTTTCCATTTGGTGAAAGGGATTATTTACGACCCTCTTTTGATATGGATTGCCTTTTGGCCTTATGGCCTCTATTCCTCCTTGCTTCCTTGGTAACTTGTAAAGTCTGGTCTCTTGATCTTTATCTGAAGAAGTTACTTTGTATTATGGTATATATACTCACACAGAATTCAATAAAGCACCCTTGTTCCACCAGAGACTTGGGTCCCCGTGTCCTTCTCTCTCTCTCTCTCTTTCTGGCTGATTCCCTGGAGCGTGGAGGCCTGCTGTGTAACCCAGGGAATATTAGCCTCTTTCCTTCTTTCACTTTCTCATTGTCGACTCCGGACCACCAGGTTCCGGTCCATTAAAGGACCCCACCATACATACACACACAAACACACACGCAATGGAATATTATTCAGCCACATAAAGAATGAAATAATGCTATTTGCAACAACATGGATGGACTTAGAGATTATCATACTAAGTGAAGTAAGTCAGAAAGAGAAAGACAAATACCATATGATATCACGTATGTAGAATCTAAAACACGGCACAAACAAACACATCTATAAAACAGAAATGACTCAGACATAAAGAACAGACTTGTGGTTGCCGAGGGGGAGAAAGGGTGGAGGAGGGGAGGTTGGGAGTTTGGAAATAGCAGATGCAAACTACTATATATAGAATGAATTAGCAACAAGGTCCTACTTGTATGGCACAGGAAACTATGTTCAATATCCTGTGATAAACCATGATGGAAAAGAATATGAAGAAGTATATATATAACTGAGTCACTTTGTTGTACAGCAGAAGTTAACACAACACCAAATCAAAGTTTAGAAACAAAAAAAGAAAATGTGGCTGCCGGAGCAGTCACGGAGGCTGACACAGCAAGGAGAAAGCAGACAAGAACTGCAATGTCCCGTCTACCCCTTTCTCACAGCCAGGGAGGAGCAGGATGAAGATAAATTCACCCAGCAAAGCACACCACTGACACAAACACAGCTCCATGCACCTGTTCAAAGAACACGTCAGCATCTCTGACATAAAGAGAAGAGAAACCACACACTGTCTTGGACACATCTGGTGTTCCTTGAGCACCTGACACAACATCGCACACCAGCCTGGGTCTTCTGGCCCTGGGGACCACTCTGCCCGAGGCAAATACAGCACCAGGTTAAGGGGGTCCATTCTCAGCCCACTTTCTGTAAGGAGAGCGCACCTGCCTTCAGTCTGGCAAGTTCTCGAAATCAGAACGTAAAGTAAACTAGAAACCAGCACCAACTCTGCCCAGAAGCTCAGGACGACGGTGGGAAAAGGGACACCCCAGAGCAAGCCACTTATTTTAGAGTCAGGTTCAATTTCGGCGTCACTTCCCTGAATAGGTGAAGCTACAAACATTGACAATCTCACCGCTTTCTGGGAGTTTCTCAAATTCTTAAAAATCTCTCAACTTTCATTCTGCTCTGCAGTCCACACGGCCACATGAATGGGCCCCTGGGTCTCCCAGACTCTCAGAGGCAGCTGTGACAACTCCTTTCTATCTCACTCCCACCGGTATGGACGGCCAAGAGAGCGAGACAGAGAAGTAACTCAGCCTCACGGCCTTGGTATGGTGTCTGGGCCTTCTCTGAGCAAAAGGGCAGAAAAGAACTGAGGCTCGGCTGGCCATATTTCCTGATCAGGAAACAAATCCCCTATATAAACCAAAGGGTGTGTATTGGTGGCGGGGCAGGAGGCGGGGGTTAACATGGCACATAACATGCTTATATGTTTTGCATTTTAAATCAAAATGCTTAACTGCTAGTTGTAGATATAAATGGAATACCAGACTGGAGGTTAAAAAAAAGGGGGGTGGGGGAGTGGAGAAAAAAATCTTGCCCACGAGTCCCAGCATTTGGAGATGAGCTTATAGCACAAGGTGCAGTCAGACAGGATGGGAAGCACATGGAGACAGGGGAGGCGGGGCACACACCAGCCAGGTGTCCCCTGGACTGGAAGCAATGGAGAGCCACACCCACTCTCTCCAGGACAAGTCAGGAGCCCAGGATCGGCTGGTGTTTTCAACCCCAAGTCAAGCATATGAAGGTGGAAAAACCCCTTCACAGGCGGCAGGAAGGCTGTGGGTGTGCACTGCTCTCCTGCTCTCTAGTGAGACCCTTTAGACAGGCTTTCAGAACCTCAATCTGGAACTCCAAGGAATCAACTTGAAGGAGGCTTGTCACCTCCTATGCCATCTGTTCCATTTTCCATCCTTTTTAGTCAAAATCCTACACTGCATTTCACAGATGGAATCTGCTCCTAAGATCCCTTTCTTCTCTCAAACAATTACAAAAATAAAATAAACTGAAACTTCAATAAAACAGGTTGTCAGAATCCACTCAAAAACCACACACAGAAATTAAACCATTAATAGCCACATCTGAAAATCAAAGGCAGGGATCTGAGAACCCTCCAAAGTCAAAGATAATGATGAGTTCAGGTCTGTAAGGGTCAGTCATGAAATAATTTGTCATGTTAAGAACAGGAAAATGGGGCAAAAGGGTAGAGAGGGGTTCCAAGCGGGCGGCAGGACACTGAGGCCACACAGCAAGGAGGGGCCTGGCAGCAACAGGAGTCAGGCTCCCGTTCCCACAGCCCACATTTAATTCCACACAGCTGTTCTGCTAAAGGTGACCTAAGCTACAGGTCATGCTTGTGACCCATATCTGAAAATACATATCTAATTTCAGAAAGTAAGAACAGAGTGAAGCCACTCTTTTGTGGTCCCAAGCGTACGAGAAGCAGCAGCTAAGGCCATCTTCGACAGGAAAGACAAGATAGCACCTACCTCAGGCGGCAGGCACTTCACCAGTGGCAGGTCCTGACACCGAATCTTCTCTGGTCTTTTGACCTGAAGCAGAGTGACTCAGACCGGAGGCCAGAGGATACCTTCAGGTCAGCAGGCCCTCCCTGGAATGCTGGAATGAGCCACGGATGAGTGGCCTGTGGGGTGTATTTTGAGATGCCAGCCTTAGGGCCCCCAGTTTAAAGGAGTGCAGGCCAGCATTAGTGAAGACAGAACCAAGAGGAAGGCCTGGGAGTATTTCAGACCAGCTCCGGGGTGTCCCGTCCTGGAAAAAGCAACCACGCTGAAGTGGGCACTGCTCTCCAGTGACGCTGAGCGCCGACTGCCCACAGCCCGTCAGGGAAGGTGGGAAGAGGGGTGCCAAACACAGCTCCAGACCCTGCAGGATGGACTGCCGACACAAGGACAGGATGCTGGAGGCTACCTGTTTATTACGGGCCAAAGTCTTCCTTCGGTTTTTAAAAACAACACTTAACGATAGCTGCCTAGACATGGCGTCACTAAAAACAATTTTGGTTTCTAATGTGCTTTATAAAATGAATTTAGTATTACTAGAAGATACCCACATGACCTTGCCCTCTTCCTAGAACACACACCAGACCTGCACCATCACCCCAAAAGAAACCACACAAGGCGCTCACGGCAGAGGTAAAGCAGAAAAAGTACCAAGCTGGCACTGGGGAGGGGAGTTCAAGTTCACCTGTTGTGTCCTTGACACGCGAGCAGATTTACTCTCTGCAACTAAGCTGTGCTAACGTACAAAATGGGGCTGACTATTCCAATGAGAAACCACATGGGAAACACTCTGTAAATGCTAACATCCTGCTGACTCATAAAGTGACTGAAAAAAAGCATTTCCAGAGAGGATTTCAGACAGGAACTGCACAGCTTCAAGGCAGCCACCTTGAAGGGCGTTCAGCAAAAAGACCAAGCTTTCTACTTTCCATCCACATGTCATGTGCAGAGCCTCTCAGCTCAGCTCCGGGATGGCTCTGCCCTACCCATTCATCTATGGCACATGGGCTGCCATTTGCACCAGGAGCTGGGCGGGCCAGGGTTGTAGGGCAATAGACCGGTGAGACACAGGTTCTGACCTCATGGAGCTCACAGCCCAGACAGACAGACCGACGATAAAAAAGGAAACAAAAATTAAATGACTGAAAAAAAAAAAGAAAAGAAAAGAAAAATTAAATGACTGGACTTGTGATAAGGTGGCCTGTCTAGAGGACATGCCTCACCTGAAGCTTTGATTCAAAGTCAAAACCACCCAAACAGGCATGCTGGCCACACGGCACACAGCCTACCCCAGGGCAGCTGCCAGCTGCAACTCCCGAGTTTTAGGAGAGAACACTTTCTAGCTCATTCCATGAGACGAGCAAGAAAAAACACTGTAAGAAAACTACAGACCAATATCCCTTTTGAACAGTGACACAAAAATCCACAACAAAAAAACCCTAACAAACCAAATTTAGCAGTATAGTAAAAGGATTATACATCCCAACCATGTGGGGTTTATTCCTCGGATGCAAGATTGGTTCAACGTATGAAGGTAAGCAATGTAATACACTGCATCAACTGAAGGAAATAAAAACACATGATCCTCTCAATTGATGCAGAAAAAGCATCTGATTAAGAAATAAGCATGTGATAAAATTTAACACCCTTTCATGATGCAAGCACTCAACAAATAGGAATAGAAGGAAACTACTCAACACAATTAAGAGTCATATACTGAAAAACCTCCATCAAGCATCAGACTCAATGATAAAAGAATGAAAGCTTCTCTTCTGAGATCAGGAACAAAGCAAGGATGCTGACTTTCATCACCTCTATTCAACATAGTACTGAAAATTCTAGCCAGAGCAATTAGTCAGGAGAAAGAAATAAAAGGTATCTAAATTGGAAAGAATGAAGTAAAATTATTTGCTTGCAGATGAGATTACCTTGTTTGTGGAAAACCCTAAAGACTACAACACACACAAAAAAACATGTGTTTTAAAATGTGTTAGAATAGAGGACTTCCCTGGTGGTCCAGTGGCTAAGACTCCACGTTCCTGATGCAGGGGCCCAGATTCGACTCCTGTTCAGGGAGCTAGATCCTACATCAGTTCACTCGCTCAGTCGTGTCTGACTCTGTGACCATATGGACTGCAGCACACCAGGCTTCCCTGTCCCTCACCAACTCCCGGAGCTTACTCAAACTCATGTCCATCGAGTCAGTGATGCCATCCAGCCATCTCATCCTCATCCCCTTCTCCTCCTGCCTTCAATCTTTCCCAGCATCAGGGTCTTTTCCAATGAGTCAGTTCTTCACATCAGGTGGCCAAAGTATTGTCCATGTGTAGGGTCATCTCTTGTGTTGTTGGAAGAGGGTGTTTGCTATGACCAGTACGCCCTCTTGGCAAAACTCTGTTAGTCTCTGCCCTGCTTCATTTTGTACTCCAAGGCCAAACCTGCCTGTTACTCCAGGTATCTCTTGACTTCCTGCTTTTGTATTCCAGTCCCCTATGATGAAAAAGACATCTTTTTTTGGTGTGAGTTCTAGAAGGTCTTGTAGGTCATCATAGAACCATTCAACTTCAGCTTCTTCAGCATTAGTGGTTGGCACATAGACTTGGATTACTGTGATACTGAATGGTTTGTCTTGGAAATGAACAAAGATCATTCTGTCATTTTTGAGACTGCACCAAGATACTGCATTTCGGACTCTCTTATTGACTATGAGGGCTACTCCATTTCTTCTAAGGGATTCTTGCCCACAGTAGTAGATATAATGGTCATCTGAATTAAATTCACCCTTTCCAGTCCCTTTTAGTTCACTGATTTCTAAAATGTTGATGTTTACTCTTATCTCCTGTTTGACCACTTCCAATTTACCTTGATTCATGGATCTAACATTCCAGGTTCCTATGCAACATTGTTCTTTACAGCATCAGACTTTACTTTCACCACCAGACACATCCAGAACTGGGCATTGTTTCTACCTTGGCATGGCCTCTTCATTTCTTCTTGAGCTATTTCTCCACTCTTTTCCAGTAACATACTGGGCACCTACCAACCTGGGGAGATCATTTTTCAGTGTCATCTTTTTGTCTTTTCATACTGTCCATGGGGTTCTGAAGGCAAGAATGCTAAAGTGGTTTGTCATTCCCTTCTCCAGAGGACCACATTTTGTCAGAACTCTCTATCACGACCCATCTGTCTTGGGTAACCCTACAGGGCATGGCTCATAGTTTCATTGAGTTAGACAAGGCTGTGATCCATGTGATGAGTCTGGCTAGTTTTCTGTGATTGTGGTTTTCATTCTGTCTGCCCTCTGATGGATGAGGATAAGAGGCTTGTG